AAAATAATCATAAAATCATATGAGTAGAAACCTCATTTAATAAATATCCATATTAAAAGTGTGCTATATTACTATGTTTATATCATTTAAATTTAATTATATATCATATACAATATATAAGATTGATTATTTTGATTTATTTACCCTAATTGTGAATAAAAAAGAGTAATAGTTAAATTTATATGCATACGCCAATTTGTTACATAATAGTAATTGATTTCTTAGTTATTTAATATATATATATATATATATATATATATTTATTATTTTATTATTTATAATATGCAGAAAAAATATAAAAGAAATAATAAATATAAAATACTTATTATGCATAAAGTGCAGATCTTAACCTAAGTATTTATCTGTTTAATTATTTTAAAACTTAAATATTTTCTAAATTTCAGGTCAAAACAAACAAACGAAATGAGAATAAAATTCAAAATAAATATTTATATCGAGTAATAACCAAAATATATAAAAAAAAAACATAGCAAGAGAAAAATGGAAGATAAATAGGATTGACACGTGAACGTGAACTTCTCATAACTGGAAGATAAATAGGATTGACACGTGAACGTAAACTTCTCATAACCATAATTAATTTTTAAATTGTTAAATCATGATATAAAACTGAGTTAATTTTTAATTTGTTAGCTTTTAATTTTTTTAATTTTTTAAATCATTATGGCTATGTTAAATCATGACAATAATTAATTTTAAATTGTTTATTTGTATTCGAAAAACTTAAAATATTGCTTTTAAAAATAATTTTAAATTTAACATAATTTTTTAGAAAATTATTTTTAAAAAATATAATTTTTTAAAAATATAATTTTCTAATATTATTAGACAAATCAATAAATTATATTAAATTAGTTTAGAAATTTTATATATTTTAATTGCAAATATTTTACCAATTGCTTCTTTAAAAACATTAGGGAACTTGCTATACTCTACCAATCAAGTCCAGTGACATTCCATTTATTTTCCATCACTCGAACACTGAAAAGTAAAAAGATATATGAAATCAGATCCATTAAATTCTAAGATTTGATTTACATTTCTAATTAAAATTGTTTTTGATCATACGTATAGATAATTATATAAAAATTCCAAAATTCTGAAATTTCAAATACATACAAAAATAATCATATGTAAATTTTAAATTTGTGAATATTAAAATTTTATATTTTAGTTACATATATTCACCCTGCGCAAGGCGCAGGTCTTATCCTAGTATAAAATTAAGAAAAGTGTCTCTTCCCGTAACTCACTCTTCTCTAATGCTGTTTTATCTCATTCTCTAATGCTGGTCTATAAACTTCCTCAAGTGTATAATAACCTCACAAAAGTCATACATTCTTGTTGCCTTTAATTTTAATCTCTTAACAAAACAAAATTAGCATCACCCATTCTAATCTACAATAAATCCTCTATTTACACTTCGATCTTAATTTGATTAAACAAAAAAGAATTAAAGTATGCAATGAAGGATAATTTTTTTTGTTGGTATTATATGCACATATGGAGAGATTTGAGGTAGTGCCAATTGCGAGAGAAAAAAAATATCTGACGCTATAGAAAAAGGGTAAGAGAGAGAGAGAGAGATGTTTGATTGTATTTGAGTTCGGTAATGGCGGAGATATGCTTTTTGGGAGGTCTTGTCCATTATAAAGCTCCATCTCCTTCGTCACTCCATCTTATTTCACGCAGCAAACCTCATCACATTTCTCTCATGTCCGCCTCCGTTTCAGCGGAATGCCACGCCTCCTCCTCCTCCTCCGTGGACCCACCTTCTCTCCTCGTCTTCTCAGGTCTGTGATCCCTCTTTCTTCCCTGGCTTCGTGGGTCTCCTTAAAGTTTCGATTTTTACGGTCAAAGATCGTTACTTGTTGGGTTTAGATCTTGACAAATTAACGAGAATGTTTAACTTTTTTCGTATCCAATCCCTTGAGACAGTACATGTGTTAGTTCTGTTTTCTTCTTACAAAGTCTCAAGCTTTTTGATTGGTCTTACATTTGAATTGTTTTTGACCTCTTTTAAAGAGATTAAGATAGGTAAAAAAAAACGTTACATTTGTTGCAATGAAGGTGGGACTGGATTTAACGGTGTGGTGGAAGAGTTGAAGAAGATAACAACTAGAGTCGCTCATGTTCTTCCTGTCTCTGATGATGGAGGAAGTACTGCTGAGATTGTTCGTGTTCTCGGTTAGTTAGCTTCTTTTGTCTTAAAAAACAATCTAAAACTCAATTGTTTAAATAAAGGAAGATGTTGATGTGATGTGATGTTGCTACAAGGCGGACCAGCGGTTGGTGACATACGTTCAAGATGTTTGAGGTTGTCTGATGAAAGTACTTCAGAGGCACTTGCTGTTAGGAGGTTGCTCGGACATCGCTTACCTATTGATGCACACAAGGCCAAGAAAGATTGGTAACTAACTTATCCACTGACTCTCTTCTTCTCTTGGTTTTAGGCTCATCTTTCTATTTAGTATCTCTTCCATCTTGTATACGCATGATTTAGTTAATAAGGATGTAAAGGAAGTTGATATAGACAATGAATGAAAGTTTCATTGTTCAAGTGTATCCCCTTTGTACTTGAGTCTTTTTTTTTTCCCTACGAACTCTCTTTATTTTGATTTGCTAAGCTCTTGGTAGTTACTATGGGGAAATGTATAGTGTGTTCTGATTTTGAACTTTGACAGGTACGATATTGTGGAAGGTAATCATTCTCTATGGGATGGTGTATCAAGACCTTACAGAGAAACTATCCGTGCTTTCTTAATTTACTTTCAGAATGAGGTATATAGTTTAACTGACACAGAGAAACCATGTTTTGTTTCATGTTTGCTTAGTTCCATCTTCCTGATTCTGTACATTTTTCTTACGACACAGATTCTTAGAAGACCTAATGATTCATTTTGCTTCGCTAATGGAAGGTACGGTACTTAAGATCTTATTCTCAGACATCATGTGTGTATTGTTTTGTTCTCCTGTTTAAGTAAACTTACTTTTAAAAATTGTATTCTTGTTTGTAGCATTGGGAACTTCTTCTTTGCAGGAGCAAGAATCTTTTTCCAGTCTTTAGACGCTGCCATTTTTCTGTTTTCACGTGTTTCAGAGATTCCTTGCGACAGTTTGGTCCTCCCAGTGATATCAACTAATGATAGGCTTACACTAGGATGTGTGTTACAGGTATGAAAGCTTGCTTGATCTCTATTGTACTTCCAGCAGCTAATTTATATACTGTTTGTGAAATTAATGTGTAGGATGGGACTATAATACGCGGACAGAACGAGATCTCTCACCCAACCAATGGGACTGTGAAGACTGTTGATAAGGTGTTTTCACTTTAACATGTTACATTGAGTTTCTATGATAATCACTAGAACTAAGTTACTATATATACACTAAGTTCATTTGCTTACATAGGACTCTTTCTATGTTTCTAGTAGAGACATTGTTTGACTCTTCCATCGAAGATAAAGAGAGTGTTTTACATGTCAAGCGAAGGCAATAATCTGCTTCATGAGGTTAACCACACTCTTATATATACGTATAGAATTTGTGAATAAGGACACTGACATGTGTGGCGACCATTAAAATAGGTTTTTCCACCAGTTAACCCAACTGTCTTGGAGCAGTTAAAAAGCGTGGACTGTATTGTTTACGCTATGGGATCCTTATTCACTTCCATTTGCCCATCACTGGTAAGAAGAACATGCAATGAACTTTGTGCAGTAACTGCTGATTACTTAATTTTGGATGATTATTCTTCTTCTGTTCTCCTTCAGGTTCTGCTTGGTGTTGGGGAGATTATATCTTCAAGGACATGTCGTAAGGTACTTCTGTTGAACGGTACGCAAGACCGAGAAACAAGTGGCTTCACTGCTTCTTGCTTTGTGATTGCTATTGCTGACGCTCTCAACAGAACTCACGGAGATCCTAATATCCGGCTCAAGAATCCTGTGAGTGGTTCTGCTATATATCTACACTCTCTTCTTGTCTTCCTTGTCAGATGTACATCAATTTTGTTTCTGTGTGTGCAGCCTGGATATTACATCAACACTCTCTTGGTACCAAAAGATGGAGACATAGCTGTAGATCTCAAACAGTTGTCTGAACAAGGAATCAAAGATGTTGTAAGTATACTTCCTTCACTTTTTCCAAGTTTATGCGTATATTAAAGACTTACTTGTGCTTTCATTATGTTGCAGAGAGTCGTAGAGAGTGTTCGTGACCCAAAGCACGGTGTCTTGTTCAATCCGAGCTCATTGATAAACACAATAGCCAGTTTGGTGGAGTAAATAATGATTTCTTTAAGCCAGATTTGGTTTCTTCTTTTGCTTTAATTCATAAACGGAACAATGATTTTTTTTTCTTTTAATTTGATTCTTTGTGGATTGATATATAAGAAAAGGAAAGTCGATCTTTCTCAAAATGGGATCATCTGTTGTTTGTTATAACAAATATGGAACGCAGAGTGTTTGTTCGACAAGGTGACCACGGGACATATGATATCATGTATGAAACAACAGATACATGATTGTAGACATACAATCTATGGCCATTGATGGTGGTTAGAAATGTATGATTGATTTTTGAAAATGCCACATGAGTGCTAGAAGGCTTTGGTAAATCTAATGAATAAAGCATGGTGTATCTTTCTACTTCACTTGTTTCCATATACATGCGCAGCAACAAACAGTCACTAGTGCTTTCGTTCATTAGTTGTTGGATTGATGTAAAACGTTATGAATAGTCAACTTTCATTTCAGTAGCTTTAGTTCATGATTATGAACGGCAGACTTTCCCTCAGATTCATATGTTGTCTAGTTACGGAAATAGTACAGAAAGTAGAATGCTTGTAAGAAAGAGCATGGTGATAACCAGACACTGGAGCTTCCACACCTTTTTTGGTCTTCATGCTTTATGATTACCGGGGCTGGATCTGAGAATTTGAACAGCATAAACATTCTTTAGAAACATTTGTAAAAATATTTTTTTTTGCCTCATTGGAGTATATGTGTTATGTGAAAATGTCTAAAATTTTGGGAGACCAAAACCTATGTTTCATTGGCTTTGCCCTAGTTCCATCCCTTATGATCATTCGTTAGAACATGATTAATACGGATTTCTTAAGTTATGGTTCTTAGCGAAATATAAGATATGTCTCTTAGTTTTTAACTAAGAAAAATTAATAGACGTATATATCTTATTTAGGAGACGTTTCTTAATTAAAAGTCAAGAGCTGTATCTTATATTATGTTAAGAATCATAATCTAAGAGACTAGCATTAATCATGTTTTTAGTTGTTTATGCAGAGCTCATGAGGTCTCCAAAATGTTTGAACGTTCGATCTATGTGTATCATCCAAGTTTTAGCATGATAAATTACTTAATTCAAAACATTTTGATTAGTAGATATTACATTGTTAAATTTACAACATATGAGGGACAAGTTTCTGAAAGAAGAACCTAATTTCTTGTTTTTGTATTGGTAATGGCGAATAGAAACTTATTCAATTCTTTGTTGTTTGTTAGTTCTTATGCAATACTTTTTGTTTTGTCGCTTCAATACGTGACCGTTACAAGCCAAGTTGAGAGACACAAGTATAACAGATATGTAAACTTGTAGGACGAGCTAGTATGACGTATCCATTAGAGCCCATGCTCCGTTGTTCCTCCATTCAGTGATTGCACATATAATATTGTCTATGACAATTTGTTTTGCTTGCGGATATGACAAACAAATCAACTTTCTAACAGAATTTATTACAAAAATATGTAAAGTACACGCCAGAAAATAAAATTTATTGTACTTTCATCTTTTCAACATAAACTATTCTACTTTTGACCAAAAACATAAAATAATACTGCTTGGTGAGGTCTCGTGAAATACAATTGGTCCCAGGCCAAAACTTGTGTGTTTGATAGTTAAAAGGAAAGTGTTATTAAGTTTTGGGTTATTTTTCGATTCACTCCCTAGGGTGAATCTCTAGGTTCACCATCCAATAGTATTGCATTATTTCATATTTGATATCTTTTAAAAATGAAACAAAATCTTGCTAAATTATATTATGTCTTTAAAAATAAAAATACAAAATAAATAATAAATAATAATATTAATAAAAACGAAAATCATTTAAAAAATATTTTAACACTAAACCCTAAACTCTAATCCTAAACCCTAAACCCTTGGGTAAATCATAAATTTGTAGATAACTTTTATAAAAAAAATAAAATAATTATTTTAACACTAAAACACTAAACCCTAAACTTTAATCTTAAACCCTAAACCCTTGGGTAAATCATAAACACTAAACACTAAACCCTAAACCATTGGGTAAATCATAAACCCTTTGGAAAAATCTTAAACATTAAATCAAAAAAATAATACTAACCAATTATACTGTTTTTTATTTATTTTTCTCTTATTTTTCGATTTTTAAATATTAAATCAATAAAATTAATATAATGTAACAATATTTTGTTTTCATTTTAATGATATATTAAAAAAAATTTAAAATATTTTTTTGCAATTATGACTGTTTTTATTTTATTTTTATCTTTTTAATTTAAAAACATAATATAATGTTAAAATATTTTTTTTATTAAAAATAATTTTGTTTTTTTAATATTATTATTTTATTTATTTTTTTGATTTTTGTTTTACAAACATAATATAATTTAACAAGATTTTATTTCTTTTTTTAAAAGATATCAAATATGAAATAACATCATCCTATTGGTTAGTGAACTTAGAGGTTCACCCTAGGGAGTGAACCCAAGAATAAGTCTTAAGTTTTTAGCTGCATTGGTTTCGTTCAAAGACATCAATTTATATTAGAGAATTTTGGAGTAAAACATATATAAGATTATGGATAGTATCTTATCTATTTTGTACATACTTGCTATGCCATTCATTAGTCTAATTAAGTTATACTAGATTTTGACCCGCGCAACCGCCCGGGTGTTTGTTTTCGTTTATAGTTAGTTATATAAACATTTTTTTCACTTGTAAATTGGTACTGATATATTATAGTATTCACATATTTACTATATGTATAGTAAATGTTTTTCAAACATAATAATATTATATAATACGTGTTTTAATCAAATAGATTGTTTCAAGTTTTCTATATTATACATGTTTTTTAAACATGTGTTTATTTCTTCTTCTATATTTTATTGTTTGTTAGATTAGTATTTCATTTTTAGATAAAGTAATATAAATAGAGCTTGGTTAAATATTAGTATACTTTAATTTGCAAAGATAATATAAACTTCGAAGAAATTTTTGCTAAAAACTAAACTTATAGCTTCATAAATTAATATTATAAAAAAATTATTAAAAATAATTTTTTAAACAATTTCTTTTTTAAACAATATAATTTTAAAAATTTACATCGAAATAAATTTATCTAGTATATATAGTGTGTAAATTTTGTTAGGGTATAGAAATATTTCATATTATGAATTTGTGATTTTTGTTAATATATTGTGGATGCTTTTAACTATTATTGACATATTTCCTTATAAATAATAAAAGATTCCTAAACTTATATCTATTGACATATTTTGCGTGACTAAGTTGGAAGGTGTGGAGTAATTTACTAAAACCAAATTGTTAAACGTATCTTTGTTATTATAGAAATGATTTTTCATAAGATATAATAATGATAAGATTATTAGAGAGTTAATGTAACATAAATTCCTAGTAATAGTCCATTTTTAAAAAATCACACATGAAGTCAAGTCATGACTTTTGTTTTAATATATAAGATATAACATTATAGTTAATATTTTTTCTTCAAAACATAATCCATAATTTTGGGGAATTTGCTCCACGAAAGCGAGAACTCCAAGTGGGAAAGAAGATCCCCCTAAAATATTACTCACGGCTAGTACTGTCAAATGGTCTGTCCAAAGCCCATTTGGGCAGGACCAGTTGGACCATTTATATTTTGGTTATTAATGGGCGGTCCATATTGGGCTATAGTCCACAAAAACGCCCAAACCCTATAAAGACCATGTCCAATGGACAAGCCCATGGACACCCAATACATTTATAGTTATTTATAGTTATTAATTTTATTTTTTCTTTTTAATATTATGTTTTCTAGACAAAACCGAGAATTTGCATTTTTCGCCAAAACCGAGAATTTGTGTTTTCCCGTCAAAACCAAGAAATTACGTTTTTCGCCAAAACCGAGAATTTGCGTTTTCACGCAAAACCAAGAATTTGTGTTTCCTGCCAACACCGAGAATTTGCATTTTCCTGCCAAAGCCGAGAAATTGTGTTTTTCGCCAAAACCGAGAATTTACGTTTTCCATCAAAACCGAGAAATTGCGTTTTTGCCAAAATTTGAGAAATTGTGTTTTTCCACCAAAATCGAGAATTTGTGTTTCCCGCCAAAACCAAGAAATTGTGTGTTTTGCCAAAACCGAGAATTTGTTTTTTCCCGCCAAAACTGAGAAATTGCAATTTTTTACCAAAACTGAGAAATTGCGTTTTTGCCAAAACTGAGAAATTTTGATTTTCCGCCAAAACTGAAAAATTACGGTTTTTGCCAAAACCGAGAATTTGCGTTTTTTGTCAAAACCTAAAAATTCTGTTTTTCCGCAAAAAAAAAAAATTACGTCTTTCCCGCCAAAATTGAGAAATTGCATTTAAAATTAAAAATTTAAAACTGTTTTCTTGTTAAAATTATGAAAATATATTTTTAGATAGTCCATGGACACCCATTGTCCATTTGGTCTTTACCCAATTGGACCATATACCCATTGGTCTTTTGTCCAATTGGACCATTTATTAGTTGGGTGTGTCCATAGCCCGCCCATAATGAATTGGACTGGGCAAGCCCATGGTCAGCCCGCCCAATTGACACACCTACTCACGGCGCAAGTAATGCAAAGTATTAACATCATCACATCAAATGGATCCAAGTCAACTTGCATTTGCTTACATATAATTGGATCTCAATGTTTTATCCTAAATCTATAAATACTCTTCCTTCTATCCTCACTTCTTCACCACACTACAACACCAATAATCATAAGCAACAACAACAAAAAAACAACAACACTTCCTTCTATTTTCTTCATTCTCAAAAAGCAAAATGAAATCGATCATTGTCTTGGTCACGGTTTTGACCATTCTTTTCACGAGTTTCACAATCTCTCAAGCTACTTCTCGTACCACAATCTTCCACAAGCCGTCGATGGTTGATAAACATGAGCAGTGGATGGCGCGGTTTTCTCGCGTCTACCGCGATGAGCTCGAGAAACAGATGAGACACGATGTGTTTAAAAAGAACTTGAAGTTTATTGAAGACTTCAACAAGAAAGAGAACAATGGCTACAAGCTTGGTGTCAATGAATTCGCTGACTGGACCAACGAGGAGTTCCTAGCAACACACACTGGCCTAAAGAATATAACTCGAATCTCCCCATCTAAGGTAGTGGACAAAACAATTTCGTCTAGGTCATGGAGCGTCAGTGACGTGGTGAGCGAGAGCAAAGACTGGAGAAGTGAAGGAGCTGTCACTCCTGTCAAGTACCAAGGCCAATGCGGTAATGCATCTTTTTATAGAATTATACATAAAATTAAAACAAGGAAAAATATAATTGCGCCCAAAATATTATAACTTGAGTCTCAAGTTAAGTTAGGGCTTAAGTGAATAGAGTTGATCATTCTATCAGAGCATCCAATTAATCATATAAATCTATATATGTACAGGATGTTGCTGGGCGTTTTCGGCTGTAGCAGCAGTGGAAGGTGTGACTAAGATCTCCAGCGGGAAACTTATATCTTTGTCCGAACAACAGCTTCTAGACTGCGACAGAGAGTACGACCAAGGCTGCAACGGTGGGATAATGTCGGATGCTTTCAACTATATAATCCAAAACCAAGGCATCGCTTCGGAGGAGTCTTACTCTTACCAAGGATCAGACGAAAGATGCCGGGTCAATGCAAGACCCGCTGCACGGATCAGCAGTTTCCAGTCAGTTCCTAGCAACAACGAGCAGGCCTTGCTCGAGGCCGTGTCGAGGCAACCCGTCTCTATCTCGATGGACGCAAGTGGGGACGGGTTCATGCATTACTCAGGGGGAATATATGACGGGCCTTGTGGAACCAGCTCGAATCACGCGGTTACGTTTGTTGGGTATGGAGTGGCACAGGACGGGACGAAGTATTGGCTGGCTAAGAACTCTTGGGGTGAAACTTGGGGAGAAAATGGTTACATGAGGATCCGTAGAGACGTGGCTTGGCCTCAGGGCATGTGTGGTGTAGCCCAATATGCTTTTTATCCGGTTGCATAAGAGTCTTTTGCAATATAACTTACACATAGCCTACAATTCTAATGGTATATGTATATCAAAGTGATATATTATAATACTGTTTTGATTATTTGATTAAATATTGTTGAGGTGTGGTTTGAATCCACATCGCATATTTTGAGCCACACTTAAAATGTATTTCGTATCGTTCTGTACGTCTTGCATGGCGTTGATGTAACTTGTAAGACATGTATTGATTTATAAAAAAAAAATGATATGTATAAATAGAAGTGGCTAATCGTTTATCATGCATGGATGGTAATATTTGGAACTAAATCTAAAACTCGATCCCAATTAGATAATCTAAGTACTACGTTTATGTGCCTAACAACAACAATGGTCATCAGTTCTGGTGCTAGTGTTTACAAATGTTCAGTGTGATGGTGGCTTCTTGATATATAATGGTGTCTAATTAGGAATATGCGTTTGCAGATTAAAATAATTGAGCATTACTCTACATGCAAAATAAGGGTAGAGAGTCTAGAGACTACATAAAAGTATATCTATATTCCAACACCGATTTCCTGGATATTTTTTCATATTTCCCTTATTTCATTTTCTTACAAAACTTAGTTATATATATCTTGTGATATTTTCATATAGATGTAAAATAATTGCTTGCAATACATATCGTTTTCATGGATTCTTCCTAATAGAATCTTGAGCATGTTACTTAGAATTAGAAATGAGTTTTATGATTTAAGTCAAACTTTGAAGTCATTTCTCAAATTATATATTATTGAAGATATCATACATGATACTATAAAACTCGACCCAATTGGATAATATATGCTTTACTTCCTTTTTCTGATTAACAAAAGTTTAGAGGATTACAAAAGCTTGAAGGATACATTTAGAACAGGTACACGTTGGATCAGGGCCGGCGTTGGGCAAAGTCGGATAAAACATTAGCCTCGGTCCCAAAATTTTTTAAAAAATTTATATGTATACCGGCCCCAAAAAAAAAAATTTTTAGACCTCCAAATCCGTAGAAAACAAATTTTTAGGTAAAATCGTTCAAAAATCGCCTTAGACCCCATAATTCCCAGCGCCGGCCTTGCGTTGGATTACTATGAAATTAAAACCAAATATATAGTCTCTTGATCTTCTCATTTTGCAATAATCGACACATCATTGTCTTTTTTACTTTTCAGGCGTTTGTTACCTTGCGCAGACTTGCTTACTCCTACACAGTAACAAGAGAAGATTTTGACTTGATGACATAAAATATGAATAAACAATACGACATTTGTTCTGAAAAGATCCATATATAGAAAAAAAAAGTTGTTCAAAAGATACATTATTTACGTTTTCAATGCAGTAGTTAATTTTGTAAACTTATAAACATTTATTTAAATCATATTATTTAAAAGTTATGAGAATATAGTATAACCTCTTTAAATTAATATTTTATAAATTAATATACATTAAAATTCTTTATAAAATAATATTATTTTATAGTTTTAAATTAATTTTTTGGTTCAATTAATATATTCATAAATTAATAATTTTTATAAATTAATAAAAAATTTATATTTTTTGTGTAGTTCCAACATTATTAATTTATAGAGGTTTTGTTATAGTAAGTTACAAAAAATAATGTATTAATAATTAAAAAATCATAATTTTTTTAATATGTGTAAAAATATTAAACATATATTTTATTGAAACAAGAGGAAAGCCTTTGCAATTTTTTCATCAACATTAACTGTTTTACAACGAAGTAATTAATGTTTTCACTTCCTTGATAAATATATTCGATTATCCTGTCTTGTACATGCAGGATAGTTACAGAAACACAACCCACCATATTTTCTCTTTTAAAAAATCTTTCAAAATAGTGGATTTTGTCTAATTTTTTTTTTTGTCATTGATTTTGTCTAAATAACATGTGCATATACACCGTGACCATCGTACTTTTCTTTTCGATCAAGCCAAGTCACTACAAATCAAATTTAATCTAATTTTAGTCATTTTTGTTTCATCAAAACTTTTCTTTTCGATCAAGCCAATTCACTACAAATCAAATTTAGTTTAATTTTAGTCATTTTTTGTTTTCTTGCTTCTATACCGTGACTAATGTCATAATTAAAAGAAACGTGACGTAATTTTCTTTCCTTACATGCATGTCAGTACTCCTGTCAAGATTAGCTCACTCGCTATTTCAAAAACACGAATAATAAAACAGAATCAACTAGAAAAAAATTAGCCAAGACTTGTCTATATATAGTGCTGTCCATGTCTTATACGAAATGTTTTTTTCATCAAAATGATACAACTTGGCGATAGGAATAATGACCAGATGGCTTAGAAGCATGTAAGAATTGATGGAAAATGATTTAAGATGTCCCCCGTGACAAGTTAAGCAATAGAATGTCCCACTAAAATACCTTTGATTCATACAGGGGAGCCCCACGAGAGAACACCAAAAATGATAATGTGGATTGTGGATGGCTTCAGCAAAACTCTTTTGCTTTTGATGGTTTTCTCGTCCCAGAGTTAATGTGAATTCAACGGTGTGGCAATGATCATTGGTAGGCGACTGTAGACGTTACAGGCCATATAAGCTGCATATTCCCAAGAGGGTAATATAACTTTTTGCATCTTTACTGTAACTCTTGTGAAAACATTCTATTAAAGACACTTAGATTGTGACACTTCATCTCGAAATTTTTCTATTTTGTGTCAAGAATTTTATGTTGACAAATCAATATCAATAGAATTAATATTATATGGATTTTATAGGTATTTCTAGATTTTGGAGATATATTTAGCGACATAAAATCATCCGCACAGCTAGTTATTTGTGGAAATGGAATATTCCGTCACTGAATTATATTAATGTCTACCAAAGTATACTAGTGAAAACATTTCTGATTTTTTGTCAAAAGTTTAACTAAGGTAAATTTTAGTGAAGATCAAAAAATCTTCAACAGTTCAACGTCAACAAAAACATACAACAATAACCCAAATCTTCTTTGGCCAGTTTGAACGCATAAAAGCCTTACTTAGTAGTATAATCAAAACCCAGACAACCGAATATGAACATCCAACAAACGGCTACATAAGGAATTTATAAATGATTCATAGAGAAGAATCAGGAAACAGAGAGAATTAGGAAACAGTTCCGCATATTTCACTATAGAAAAAGAGAGTGTATAACTTTATAATACAATAAGATTTCTAAAGACCGCAATAGGCTAATAGTTGAGATAAATCCCAACACATACATAATGACCAAATGTGGTACGAAACTTCTAAAAATACTTAATTGACAGCTACGAAATATAAATACTTGCTGAGAAATTTTGATAGACACACCTGAACCAGTTCTAACGACCGCAATCGGTCAATAGTTGAATCCAAAATTAGCATTGGGTTACTGGTAAAGTTTACTGTTATTTGATTTACATTTTTAATTTATTCACTGTCTTTGGTTATTCAAAATTTTATATATTACTGATGGGCACATAAACTGAATTCAGACATCTAACCGAATTTGGCTGACAAAAATGATTCCGAAGTACCAAATCCAATATAAATACGAGTCATACTTATTTTATGATATTTTGGATTTTAAGTTTTATCTAAATTAAATCAGAACCCAAATAGATAATCAAAACAATCTAAAATTTCAAAATTCTAGAAATATACTCATTAAATGTGAATTTAATCCCGAATAAGTACACAAAATACTCAACGATTTCCTTAATTATCTATATAGTTGAACTTATCGGGTTTGATGTATTCCATTTCCAGTTTATCAGATTTGTTGTGACTGCATATAGTTTTGAGTTTTTTTCCTCTTTACTCTCTAATTTCATTTGTCAGAATTTACACTAGAACCAAAAAATAGTGACAGTTTCTCATTTCAATTTTTTAAAAAAAATCTTTGTTTAACTGAATTTTTATTTAGTTTTCGGTTTGAACTAAATTCAAAAAAAAATAGTTTGAGAACCAAAAACTCGATGAAGATCTAAAATACAAATTATGTTAGATTCAACTCATTTTGGAAATGTAACTAAACTTAATCCAAATCCAAGTAACACATGAACCAAATCAGTGATAGTCAATGATAATTCTTAAAAACAGTAAGAATCTAGCCCATATATGTTAAGTTCAGTAAACTTTTATTTATTTTATAAAGTTTTAAACTCATTTTGGAAATGTAACTAAACTTAATCCAAATCCGAATAAACATGAACCAAATCAGTGATAGTCAATGATAATTCCTAAAAACAGTAAGAATCTATCCCATATATGTTAAGTTCAGTAAACTTTTATTTATTTTATAAAGTTTTAACTAAATAAATTTAATTTACACAAATTCCTCAATGAATAACCCCTTAAATGATCATTTTTCAAAGATTTGACAGCCTAAATATTGTGTGGCCTTCCTAATGAACTGATATATATACATATATTGTAATTTCGAACCGATATACTGCCAATAATATCTCCACCCAAGAATTTATTCACATCACTCACTCACTACTGTACATATGTACAAGTATATATATGTAAATATATAACCCAGTTCCATCCCAAAACCTATAAAAAAAAAACAAATCTTTTTCTCTCTTTCAGAGATGGGTTGCAAACTCATCTCTCTTTTCCTTCTTACACTCCTCATACTCACAATCTTGTCCGAGGCCGACAAGGCATTGGCTTCCGACAAGAAACCGCAAGTGAGCCACCGCAACATAACGTCGTTGGCTGCCGCTGGAGAAGGAAAAGCGACGTTGAAAGGAAAGAAACAAACGTCTGGTTGTAACTTGTTTCAAGGGAAATGGGTTTTCGATGCTTCTTACCCGTTTTACGATTCGTCCACGTGTCCCTTCATAGACGGCGAGTTTGACTGTCTCAAATTTGGCCGGCCAGACAAAGAGTTCCTCAAGTACTCTTGGCAACCTGATTCATGCACCATCCCAAGGTATGTAACATCGATACTTTAAGACATGTTTTTCCCGTTTTTCCACATGCATTACGTATATGCATACAATTAGCATAATGATGATGATAATGATAGATTATATATGTATGTGAATTATGAATGAAGGTTCGATGGAGAGGCGCTTCTGAATCAGTGGAGAGGGAAACGAGTGATGTTCGTGGGAGACTCACTGAGTGAAAACATGTGGGAATCGTTGGGATGTATGATCCATGCGTCGGTACCAGGCATCAAGACCACTTTTCTCAGACGTACCCCACTCTCCTCTATCACTTTCCAGGTCCCTCTCTCTCTACTCTACTTCTTTTTCGGTAATAAAATTTTAAAATGTGTCTTTGGATAAAAACAAAATCTAATAATTCATCGTCACGAGGAGGACTTGTCAATTTTCTAGAATCGAGTAGGTCACGGGCTATATATTATACTCCTTCATTCTCAAAATATTTATCATTTTAGACTTAATTTTTGTCACGAATTAAATAGCGTTAAAGAGTTTTAAGACAAAATTTATTAGTTTTATATAATATTTTATTTTTTTTATTAGTTGAAAAGTGATTACATGTATAGTATTGTGTTTTTATTTTGAAAATATGTAAAATTAAATGTTTCATAAATTTGTGTGTAAAAATCTAAAATACAACTAAAGTGAAACGGAAGAAGTACAATATTTTCATTTTAAAAAGGAACAATTTTCGAATTTTTATTTTGTGTTTTAATTTAAAATGTTTTGTGCAAACGCTTGACATCCAAGGTATTATGATTTTCTATGCTTAGTTGATCTTACTTTTTTTTATTAATTCCGTAATAGAACTGATATTTACGTAATATAGAACTATTAATCAGTGACAAAAAGAGGTAAGACAAAAGATAAATTTTACAAACTTTTTTTTTGTTCAAAGATAAATTTTAGGTACAAACAAACAATTGATTTTCCTTTTTTATAAAGAGGTGTTTCTTAAACAAACGTTGTACATTTTGATGTACACACATGCTTCCACTTATATTTTTTGGTTAATGTTTAATTTCTCAATATATTAGTTATCTCAATGAAAACATATACTCTAGTTTTCAATTCTGGTAAATTCGCGGTTTCTTCTAAGTAGTTTGAAATTCATCATGAACATTGAAAGCTAAAGCATGATAACCGGGAAACCGTTTTTATGATAACCGGGAACCTATGTGACGTGACATTAAACCCTTATAAGAAAACAGTAACAGCCGAAGTCAGATACGAAAAATGTAAATTTATAAAACTTTTCTCCACTGTACATCATTTTGCTTTCTAGTGTTGACTTAGATTTTTGGCAATTTCTGTCTTCTACTTGTTTCAAACGAATTTAGGACATAAAAATTAATTTTTGTAAATGAATATATATATATATATATATAAATTGGAAAGAAACAAAGAAAAGAGAACATAGCAGTGAAAGGAAGTAGGAGACATGACAGCTAATGACAGCCAATAAACCACTTCAATTTGTTTTCTTCAACCTATATTTTAATTTCAAGCATGGAAAAAGATGATACATATTTTTAAAAAGTTGGAACCTGGAAAAATGTGTGATTTTCTGTATATAAATTAAATAATTTAGTATATTTCCATATGTATATAGTAAAAACTATTAGAATTTCTCAATCTTTTTCACATGATTGAAAACAGGAATACGGAGTTACATTACACCTATACCGAACACCATACCTTGTGGATATCTCCAAAGAAAAGGTAGGGCGTGTGCTTAACCTTGGAACCATAGAAGGTGGTGCTGATACTTGGAAAGACATGGACGTTCTCGTGTTCAATTCTTGGCACTGGTGGGTTCACAGAGGAGTCAAATCCCAAGGGTTCGTACAATATATCCTACACTCATTTATATGGTCTAGTTTGAGATTAAGTCTTAATTAAGACATGTTTCAACCAAATCATCTTCTTTTCTTTTACTGTTGTTATTGTATCAGGTGGGATTTTATAAGAAATGGTTCTTCACTGATGAGAGACATGAACCGTCTTGATGCTTTCAACTTTGGACTCAACACTTGGGCTCAATGGGTTGATCAAAATATTAATACTTCGCAAACCCGAGTTTTCTTTCAAGGCATTTCTCCTACTCACTACGTGTAAGTTCATTATATACGCACCATATACATACATTTGGTATGAAAAATGCTATTTTAGGTAAATATCTTGAGTTGTTTATTTGGGAAATATAATAGTGGAAAGGAGTGGAATGAGCCAATGAAAACTTGCAACGGGCAGATGCAACCGTTGACAGGGTCAACATACCCGGGTGGTCCACTTCCAGCAGCAAGCATAGTGTCACGAGTGTTGAGCTCCATGAAGACACCTGTTTACCTACTCGACATCACAACTTTGTCTCAGCTAAGAAAAGATGCTCATCCATCTACTTACGGAGGCAATGGAAAAACTGATTGCAGCCACTGGTGCCTTCCTGGCTTGCCGGATACTTGGAACCAGCTTCTCTATGCAGCTCTTTCGATGTGAAGAACTTAACTCAACATTTATACATTCTTAGAAGGCCAAAGAAGAAAGAAGAGAACGAATTATATTTTACTTAAAAGATTTACAAACAGGATGACGACAATTAAAGTTGTAAAGTGTTTTATACTATTATTTTCTTTTGTAAGGGGTTGCAGTTATAATCTAATCATCTTGTGATTGTTACAAGAAAGAAAATTATCTAGACTAGCACATGTGTATCATTGCTGCTTATTTTATTTCATCGTACGTAAAATGTTTGTTGTTTCTTATTAAATTTTATTGGGCTACCTTTTTTTTTTTGGCAGATTTAAATGAAAACTCGAATTATGACATTATATAAAATGGTTCAACACAAATCTTGACTCTTAGAATCTTAAGATTTGGGTGCAGTTTGTCTCGGTTTGATTTTATTATATTAGATGGGATCAGGCTATTTTTAGTGTTTTGTGAACTTTCTCATATAATTTTTTTAAAAAATTAATATGACCAAAAACTTAAAAATGCGTTAATTATCTAAATTACTTTGTTCGTCTATTAGGTAACTGAAGTTACGGATGGTTTAAAAAAAACTTTTATACTATGAACAAAAATATCAAGAAACTTCTAAACAAAGGACACAAGACATACCAAGATCGAGACAAAACAACCACACACAAACTTAAGAGCAAACTAGAATAAATAAAAAAGATCTATAAAAAGACACGACAATCTTTTCGTATCTCCCCATGTTTCCTCCCTCTCTTTACACCAATAGAACCCATCTTATCCATAGCCTCTCCAAACGCCTTGAGAAACTTCTGCTTATCTCTAGCCATCTCAAGTACAATGGGCTTCGTCCTCGGGTCAAGAAACAGGGCTTGGTCCGACCCGAGAAGTCCCATGTTACTTCCTAGACCTTTGTAATACCCATTGTCGAACGCAAACGGAGTTGTGGCGTCGAGGGGAAGGGCCGCACGTGAGCTTCTGCCGGAGAAAGGGCAATATATACGGAGCTCCTTGAGTAATCTTGTGTTGATATTCGGGTCTGGTCGTTTCGTGCCTTTGAAGTCATAGAGACGACCAACGAAACTCTTGCAGTGGGAGAAGCCGATTGTATGGGCGCCAGAGAGGACGACAAGATCTTCTACTGTTAGTCCTTTTGATGCGAAGAGCTTGATGAGCTGATCGACCGTGGAGTTTGATCGAGGGATGTTGGGAGGGACGTTGGTTGCCATCGATCTTTTGCCGTCCCACCTTCCTTTTTTCACTTGGTAGTAAGGTCCACCTGCCTGGTTTAAACAAAAACAAAACACTGGTCAGTGACACGTACCCACGTTATGTATCAAAATCAAAGCAGCTAAAAAGTTGAACCAAAGGCAAAACTATGTCCAAGACCGACTTGGACTCAAAATGTTTGAGATGTGCTAGATACTAGACCGGTTCTTGGTATATCCAATGAAACATTGGCATTTTACTAAAAAGTTGAACCAAAGGCAAAATTATGTCCAAGACCGATTTGGACTCAAAATATTTGAGATGTGCTAGATACTAGACCGGTTCTTGGTATATCCAATGAAACATTGGCATTTTACTTTTATCAAAAAAAAAACATTGGCATTTTACTCCTAATTTTTTTTTGAGTTATTATTATATATGAACATAGATTTGCAATATTTAAAATAAATAAAAATATTCTTACTAAATTATTTACAGCCCCAAAAACTCATATCCAAACGCCAGTTGGCTATCTTTTGAGCTGGTCTTAGAAGTAGAGCAAGAAGAATCGTTTTAGTAGAAAAAATTATGTAATTGATGTATGGGATTTACCAGGTGGATGAAATCTCGAGTAGCGATGGCAAGAATATCAGAGCAAGAGACACGAGAAGGGCAATGCGACTCAACCAATGCCTTTGCCTTGATGATACTCTCAAATCCTTCTTCTCTTAATTCTTTATTCTCTTCTGCTTCCCTTTCGGCTAAATTCTTGCTTCCCTTCTTTGTTTCTATCAATATCGACCCATCACAACCCTTCAAAAAATTCCAAATACAGTTCAAAAAAAAAAAAAATTCCAAATACTAAGTTGGGTTGTGCAAGCACCAACAATTTTATATACGTTTGCATGCACGTGAATTGTATCACTAAACAAACAGCACAGACAGACCAACATACTTTTGAGGTTGTTACTAAAGTGCAACGAATCTTGGCATCTTTTGCTAAAATGCGCGGCGTTGGGTACACGACAAGTTCTTGTCGGGACCATTTATTATTTTTCCAGATTGTATGTGTTTTTACTATTTTCCTATAGGCGTTTTGACTTTGCAACTATTATTGAGGTCTAATGAGATGATTCATTGAAATGTGACCTGTGGCCATGCCATTTAGTAACGTAAAAATGCGTGTTGTGGTCACTGCTTTGTGCTATTGTGCATAGAAAGAGAATGCAAGATTCAGGTTTAGGTAAAAAAAAATACCGAAACGAAGCAGTCGTGGAAGAAGAGGCGAATGGTGGCTGGGGCGGAGATGGGTGCTTCTTTGAACCGCTGGGAAGTGACAGAACCGACAAGACTTTCGAGCTGAGGACATTTCTTGGAGTAGTAATCAACGGATAGTCCTCTGTGGCGGACGTGCGGCAGTGTCTGGGGATGAGAGGTTGTGGGCTTCGCTTGAGAAATTGGAATGGTGGAGATGAGAAAGAGAAAAGAGAATATTAAGGAGGGAGTGAGAGATAAGACATGCATGGTGGATTGGTCTTTGTTTTGGATACTGTGAGTCTGGACAAACTACTATATAGTTTCTGTTATGAGTTAACAAAAACAAAAAAATCCAAGTCAGAGCTGAGAAAAATGACAAAAATTGATTTGCAATAAAATTATAAATATTTTCGTGAGATATAAAGAGAGTGGTAGTAATTTATTAACGGTTTTGTTATTTTTATTTCAAATTTATAATCAAATATAATGAAATTTAATTTGGTGTTACTTTACATATTTTCCAAGCTTGGATAAGAGACCAAAGGTAAACATAACGGATTGATATCTATCTTCACTTTAATCGAAACATTGTCTAATAAATCAAACCATTCATCTTGAATGCCCCAATATAACATTTTGAAACTGGATAAACTTCTATTTTACCAAAAGATTATGTGTATTATACACAAAGAACCCATACATGATCTCTACTGGTTGTCAAAAAAAAAAAAAAAACATGATCTCTACTGAAAAAACAATGTGATCCTATCACGACTTGTGAACCAAAAAAAAAAAACTATCACGACTATATCAGAAGTATCATGGGACAGTATATCGTATTTACACATTTGTTTGTATTCTATCACATTACTTACATTTATTAAGAGAATTATGTTTAAACATCGACACTTATTTGCAATCCTTTTTAAAAAGTCTAACGCTCACAGGAACACATCATTACGCGTTCTACTCAAAAGATATGTAAAGTTAATAAGCCATGATTTCTTCCTCATATGTGAATAAAAATATGAGAAATTGCTTTAAACCATAACCCATGTGCTTATACATAAAGAGTAAACTCCTGAAACCATGGTTCACGAATTTCCTAATGCCACTAGAACCTAAATTTAGTTTAGTTTTCCTATCTAGTTTTGTCCCAAAGTCAGACCAGTATCCATGATAAACTTACTTCTATAAATATTTGAACCTGCATAAAAAAATGGTTTAAACAATCTGATCTTTATTATTGGTTCATAACTGTTAAGAGACTGGATTCGAGATTGATAGGGTCACATGAAAATGTTAGAAGATTCCAAACACTCACGGGCGGACGTAGCAAAACGTTGTGGCAAAGATTCTGCTTTGAGCCTTTGACTAAACAGCATTTGTGACTAGATTATATATTTGTTTTGTAATTGATGCTACTACAGATCTGAAACTCTGCACACAGAAAATGGTACGTACATTTTATATTGGTTTATAACATGATAAATTTTTACATTATTTTATTTTGTTACATTATTTGGAATATATTGTATACGTATATATACACACTAATAGTAACAGTGTCATTTAAAACGGATATTTAATAACAGAAATCTATCAAATCGACATCATTGTTCTCGAATTTAAGTTGCTGAATGAACACTTATTGAGAATTCTTGCCATGAACCTTTTTTTTTTTCCTGGTGCTATAGTCTTCTACTCCAAAGCTTCTAGACTTCTAGTATGAACTGTTTCAGAATGATTTTGAAATACTTATAGGTAGGAGTATCTATGTTTTGGTAAAGTGAATCTGCAGTGTAGATCAGTGGCGGAGGCAGAAAATTATTTTATTGGGGGCATAGATGTTAAACTAAAGTATGATATTAAATAAAAAATCTCTTAAACTGAAATAGTCTTACAAATATTATTAAAAAAACTTATAAGCATACTCTACGTTCAGCCATGGTTTGAAACTTTTTCACCACTGTTTCATTTGTCACCGATGCAAACAAATCCTTTTCA